CGCCAGCATAATAAAAATTCCCAGGCTAGTTGGAGAAACAGATGCTCAAAAGACTTACTACTTTTTCATGTAATACTTTGCATATTCACTCGGGCCTAGGCTTTAGCTAGCACAAATTGTTTTTGCTCCAAAATCAATAAGCACTGAAATCTGTATCAGCTGAAGACCTGTCACCCATTCCTTCCAATTATATTTAGACATTTACATTTATGTCAGAAAATGTACGAGAGAGACTGTTATGTGTATTGCACCAAGGAAAAGGGAAGAAATATGCACAAAAGTAGCAGGTGAGAGACTGGCTCTTGCCTTCGGTGTTTTATACAATAGTATTGGGCTGGAACCACTGAGAAGTTGAAGCTCTCAGGCCGTATCTGCTCTGTCTGTACTCTAGAGGAGGCTGATGAGCATGGTCTGGCCACTGCCATATTCTGAATCTCAACCTCCAAAACATGGTGACTTGTCCAAACTGCTCGTTGGGAGTCTTTTATGGCCAGTGCTGAGCCTGAGAACTGTGCAGTTAAGTGCTGGTTGACCCAGGCCAACGCCATGCTGGCAACGAACAGCGTGGGCGATCACGTCCTGCTGCCTGTGCCCGTGCCCTTGCGCTGTGATTTATCGATGTGGACGTAGCCACAGTGGGCTCGGCAGCTCTCAGCTGGGTTCCTGCATCACCTGTGTCATACGCGGGAGGAGACGAATGCTTCAAAATGAGATTACAAATGGGCAGCACATCAAGGCTTGCTGTTAAGAAAACCATTTAAAAACCCTCTATGGAAAGAGCCTATTAATTCTGCCCTTTCACAGGCTTTGATACCTCCTGCTTTACAAGACTTACAGCCCTGTAGAGTATCTCCTGGAGTTAGGCAATTTATTTCAGTGGGTAAAGAGAGGCAAGTCATTTTTTTGTTAAAGAGGTGGGGCAGGAAGGTATAGTTTTGTCGTTGCTTGCATTTTATAACTTCTTATTCACCCAGGGCTGGACTAGCTGCAGATGAAGCCCACATTTCGTGCAACGGTGCTATAAGTGCTGAGTGAGTGGGTATTCACAGGTGAGGTGCTCTCAAGCCATCCTTTTGAAGTTGTTCCACTTTGCAGGAAATAATTAAATGCTTACTGGATACAGCAAGTTAAAAAGAATGAGTATGCCTCTATAATCCGCTGGCTTGGGCACTCACCTGGGAGATGATTAAGTAGGTGAGACTCTAAACACTATTAGGCAGAAAAAAATTGAAAAGAAGCACAGAGGTGTCACTCAGATGTCTTTTTCCATTGCTCTTTATAGGAACATTTTTGCCAGTTTGAATCCCCACTGAAAGAGCTCGCTGTAGCTAATCCTCTGAGAGTGGCTATGTTTTCTAAGCGGGAAATGGATACAGGATAAACAGACAATCTGCTGTTGGCACACAGCCCTCTCTGCCACGGTGTAATAAAGTCTTATCATCTGCAGCTAGGTTCTTCTATGGCTAAGCTCGTTCAGAAGTCGAAGGAGAACTGAGCACCATAACTGGAAATCCGATAATGGCACCTATAAATAAAGGATTTCTAGCTGCACATTTAACGGCAGATTAAAATATATTTAGTGATTTAATAAATTATTTTTAAAAAACATGATTCAAACCTTGAGCTTTTTGGGAGGAGGCTTCTAAAAACATTCATACTTGTCAAAACCTCTTGGAACTTAAAGTGAAGCATGCCTTTACTGTTGAATGTTAATTAAAAGCAATAGGTGAACTGAGGACACTGTGACCCTCAAATTTAGTATAAACGGGCCTTTAGGGAGGAAGTCTGAAAGAGGCACTAAGGTGAAGAGCTCAACATCACTGAAAGAATGGAATCCATCACCGATCAGTTTAAATTGCTTCAGCCGTTCAGTGTTAGCCTGTTACACTTCTTGTTAAAAGACATGCAGCTTTTTTTCAGAGCAAATGGGTTTATTGTTTCTCTTTGATTACTGCCTATCCATTTAAAGAAATCTTACAAAAAGATTTGATTAAAAATACTTCCATATTGTTTTTTTAAAGAGAGCAGTGGTTCGTTGGTTGGACACCTGCCGGTTTTTTGGTGCGGTAGTCTACCAAATGTCTGAAACCCAAATCCAAACATGATTGTTCTGCTTTCATAGTCAAACTTATGCCTGATGCAAAAATTGAGTTAAGAAGATAAATAGAGAGAGCCCAATTTCAGTTTCCTTATATCACTACGGCTGCAGCAGAGTCATGTCCAGCACGGAGGGGCTGATAGTTTCCACATACTACTTAGGGCAACCTCAGGGCATCTTTTGATTTTTCATGTTAAGCTACATTGCACCTGCAGAGCGATTGTTCTTTTTCTTTTCCGCTATCCCCTGCTACTGTCTTCTCTCTCTGCTTTTTATGGTTAATCTGTCCCACATCAAGCCTTTTACCTCTTATGCTCATGTGTCTCCAGCTGATTGGTCCAGTTTCCATTAAAATTATCGAGAAGTAGGAGTGCTCACCACAAATGACTAAGATTGTCGATAGTAGAAAGAGCCACACCATATTCTGAAAGAAAATCCACTAGATTGTGGAAAGGCTTTGAGGAAAATTAGAGGTGAATCTGATAGGCCCAGCAGGCATCGCCTCCTCGCTTTTCCTCCGAGGATGAATATTGATTTTAAATATGCCTCGGTTCTAGCCGTCTGTTCACCACACATCTGAGGATTTTTTCTTGAGGTCAGGCGATAGTTCTCAGAGTAGCACTGTTATTTCCTTATTCAGAGAAAAAGAAGAAAGCTGATTCTTTGAACTTCTGGATTAGTCAGAGCAGACAGTGTTGACAAGACGTAATTGCTGCTCCAATTGAGAGGTAAGGTAATGCCTCTGTTGTTTTGAAGTTCTTTAGGAAAACTCTCTTGTGATCTAAACCTAGTCATCTTAGACATGCAATTTGCTCCTGAGTGATAAGAACCTTTCAAAAGATTCACATCAGCTTTAAAAAAAAAAAAAGAAGTAAAAGAGTTAAAGCTAGGAGCCAGTCCTTACTCTCTTTTTAGTTGCGAGATGTAGGCTTACCAGAGCTGGACAAATCACTGTCCATGCGCTCTGCTTTTTAGCTCAAGCAACAACAAAATTCCAGACCTTGGCTTCAGCTAAGGCAAGCACCAGTATCTTCCCTGACAGCCCATATAAAACCGTGCAAACTGTAATGCGTTCCTTCCCTGATTTAAGCTGGCCATCGATTTATGCCAGAATATAGAAAGGCAATCTGACTTTATCATCGGGCCAATTATCTGCAGCTTGTATTTTTATTCTTATAAACGTATAATCCCTTTCCGTTAAGCCACCATCAGATTCTGCCCTCAGATAATGAGCGGATTCCGTTGGTTTCAATATTGGTGATGCATGTGGAAGAGGAATTGGGCCATCATTTGCCTGGACAGCATCCTGGTGGACAGGATGACATGGCTTTAGCTACAGGCTACAAGTAACTTGTACATTTTTACCTTTTAATCACAGTGAGCCTATCTTTATTGTATTGAAGTGCACTGGATAGGAACCAATTTGATTGATTGTATCAGAATTTCCATGGTGGATACATTACAGGTACCACAGCTATATCCCCTCTTACTCCTCTGCATTCTAGACTAAATTTAATCCTAGTCTTCTAAATCTTTTTAAACCTTATCTTTTAAATCTCTTTTCATAGCTAACCCACCCTTCTGTGCCTCATTTTGATTTTCTTCATTTCAGGTGGCCCAATTAACTGATACAATGGTGTCATACTTTTCTGTGTTGTATCTCTTTAATGTATACTAGGATCTTTCTTATCGTTTGTTTCATTTCTCTTGGTATTGAATTGTTGTTTTCACTGATCTCTCCTCAATTACTCATAGGCTCTGCTTTTTCTTGTTTGGTGACAGCTAATTCAGAACCCATCAGCAGGCCACATTCATCTGTTGGTTGTACTGCTAGCAATCCAAGGCAATTCTATGGAAATCAGTGTAAATGAAATAAAAACCTGGCCTAGTGTGATCAAATAGCTTATTACATTCCCATAAAAAGGCAGAGCTGGCTGTGCAATTTACTTTTGCTTAGTATTTCCTTATGATTTAACTGAAGAGTAGGATATATATTTTTTCACCACTGGAGATATTATGCTAAGAAAAAATGTCTACGTTTCCATATTCTTGATATGTGCCATTGTAGCACTCAGAACAATGGACTTTGATCCTGAGTGAGGTGTCTGAACACTCATCAATCTAACTGTTAAATAGTTACAATGAAAGAAAATTATGTGGCTTGATCCTTCATGTTTTGTGAAGCTGGATCTTTCGATACTATCAAGGGTATGTAGACACCTAAGGAATGAAAAAACAGTGCCCATAAAGTAACGGAAATTAGAAATAATATATTTTAACGTGCCATAACACGTGCTTATCTTCCTTGAACTTCATCTGCTATCATAATGTTCAGTCAGGATCTCTTTGATGCACTTTGAAGCCTATTGGCATTCACGGGTTTGGGTAGTGTGGAATAGTTCAAAATCCCTTGTTTGATCTTGTGTAAACATGTACTTGAAGTTTATTTTTTATATTCCATTATTTTATCTGTTTCTTACCTAATGGCTGATGAAGTCCAGTTTCCTACAATCAATACAATTTAGACATGTGATTTCTCATATTTTAATATTGTATTTAGAATAGACTATTTAAAAATATTTTACTAGGTATCAATTACAAGTTTTTAAGAACTGTTTGGTTTTTCCTAAAAGATGACAAATTATTGTCTTAACTCATTGTCTCCCTGGCTAGTTTATCGCATTATGGCCTTGTCCAAGCTGGCGGACGTAGGCACGTTTATAAAAGACTCTGTAAAGAGGCTTAGCCCTAAATGCTGCAATATCAAAACACTGTTTTTTTTTAAAAAAAAAAAAAAGAAAGAAAAGAAAACAAAGCACTGTGTTGTGATTCTCAATATAAAAAGCTGGATATACGTGAGCTAATTTGACTAATAACATCAGATTTTATTTTGTCTTTTAAGGTAAAACTGGCCACACAGAGGCTGTACGCGTAGTATATCAGCCAGAAAACATCAGCTTTGAGAAACTGCTCAAGGTCTTCTGGGAGAATCATGACCCGACACAAGGTAGAGTGATGAGTGAGCCAGTATTTAATTATCTTACTAATTACAGCTGGGATAATTAGTGTTTGAGCTGTGTGGAAGAGATGAACCTTGAAATCACACTGGAGCTCAAGAATATGATTGCAGACATTTATTGACAGAGAAAGAGAGGGAGAGAGAGAATGAGCATACAGAAACTCACAATACCCCTCCTTTACAGCTGTCTGTGCTGGGAAAATTCCCACAGAGAGGCCCACCAGACAATAGAAATTTTTTTCAACTTTGATTATGACAATTTCTTCCGTAATGCTATCTTTTGTCTCCTAAATTAAGGCATATTTCTTTACAGCTTCGGAGCTGGCCATTTTATTTGTGCTGAAGACCTTTATCCTCCTTAAATTTTAGGGGGGGAGGTTGTTTTTTATATTTTTAAATGACTATGAATGTCTTTTATGATTAGAAAAAAAGAAAAAAAGACATAAAAGATGGTATGTAAAGGCAGCAGCATATTCGCTCTTTGCCGCTTTCGAGTCTTTTGATTTAATTTATCTTTCTTGGAAGAGACTTCATGATGACATTACACACATCTGTGCAAACATAAATGGGAAACTGTGTTGAGAAAACATCTTATATGTTTATATGGTTTCAATAAACATCATCCTTTCTACCATATCCTAGAAATATTACACTCAGTAACTCATTTCAATTTTTTAACAGCTATCGCAATTATGCCACTTGTTACTGCATCTGGGAACTAAAAATGCAGATGATACCTACAGAATAGGAGACCATCTTGGGAACTAGTAACTCTGAGAGGGATCTAGGGGCTATTATGGAGAAGTGCCTTCCAGTGAGCCCACAGCGCAGTGCTGTGACGAAAAAGGCTGTTGCAACTCCTGCCTGTATGAAAAGGGGATCCGTCAGGGGTAGGGATGTGATCTTCTGCATACACCATCAGTAAAATCCCACTAAAATAGAGCACTGTTTGCAGTTTCAGTGCTAACACGTCAAGAATGCTACAGAGATATTGTTGGGAATTCAAAGGAGGACGCAAAAAGGATACAGAGGCTAGAAAACTAACCTAGTGCTGTGAATAAACACATTCAACTAACTGAAGAGATATGGTGCTATGATCAAGCCACCTTTACAGGTACTTATGTGAGGAAGAGATACCTCATAGTGAGGTTGGCAAGTCAGCCACTGGTAAGCCATAACAGGATCCAGTAGCTGGGAGCTGAGGTTTGAGAAGTTCCACCTTGAAATAAATGAGTTTTGCAGCTCTGAGTGTGATTAAATGTTGGAGTCTTTTTCCATCACTCACTTTTGAGTCTTTAAATGGGACTATTTCTCATGTTAAAAGAGGTGCTTGAGTCAATTCATGAGAAGAAATTCCATGTTTGTGTGTCAGGCGTGATGGCCTACACTGGCGTCTGTTATTTATGAGCCTCCTCGATCAACCCACTCCTTTCTAGTTGTATGTTCAGAACAATTTGTCTGCACCATCCTTAAAACAGTTGTAGCTCTGCGTTGATATAACAGCTATCTTCAAACCATTCTTCCCGGCCTCGGTGGTTTGCTTATAGAGGTCAGGAAAGACGTTTTCCTGTGTCCTACTGTTGGCTGTATTTAGGTCTTTTTTTGTTCTTTTTTTCTGTGACTTATCATAGATTGGCCATAATCAGAGGCTGGACAAGTGTTTTGATATAGCAGAGAGAATCCTATTTCTAGATAAATGCTTCATGAGTCTTGCTCACACGCTGAGAGTCAGGACTGAAGGCCAGGCCTATAGGATTTTTCACCTTCCAGAGCAGTATGACCTCTGCTAAAAAAATCTGGGCATCTGACACCTACTCAGTTCTCTGCCATTTCTGTAGTCTTGGCTTTTACAATGTATGTTTAGTCCCTCCTGGTGGCACACATACAATAGGTCAATCTCTAAAGGACTTCAGTGCTTTAGGCCAGCTGACGTATGTGTGCTGGATATAATGGGATCTGGATGAGGTATAATAGTTGTGATAAATGGGCCAGATCAGATGATCTCATGATTTTTTCTGGTCTTAAAAGAAAATGATGACTCTATGTCTTTATATTCACCTTGCATTCTCACATAACTAAGGTTCCAAATAGTGCCAGTCTGTGCTTTCAGAAGAGGGCTGGATGCTGGCAGATGTGTGATTTACTCTCTGATTTCTGGCAAGTGGGGAAACATCACCTAATTAGCCTGGGCACAGAGCCACACTAATGTGACTGTAGTCCTTCCGGGATGTGAGCTAATATCTTTGCACGACACTGTGCTCTGTAGATACCCAAGCCATTCACAGCCATTGCAGGCATCTGTGTGGCACTGCAGTGCTTAGTGCTTAAGCATACCTAAACCTTTATATAAGCTTGAGTCAGTAGGATTTCCAAATGGTTCTTCCGTAATAATTTGCGAAAAATGAGAACATCATTTTATCCATATGGAAGATGCCAGTCCCTGAAACCTTTGTATACTCTAGGCTTAGCTTACGTGGACAGGTTTCTTTACCTACACATTTCTGAGGTTGCTTAATGCTAAACCCTGTTCAAGACCTTTGCAAAGCTCATCACATCTCTACTCCCTTTCTTGAAATGAAAAAAACCTAAGCCTCAAGGTCCCAATTTCAAGTTCCTTTGTTTCTTCTCATAAGATAGGAATTGTTTGCTTAAATACCCTTTTCATGTTTGAGCAATTAGCAGTAGAAGTTCTACAAGGTGGAAATGTTCCTTCACCTTGGCCTGTATCTACCCTTAGCTTTGATTTTGCTGTGGGAAATGAAGTTTTATGTTAAGTTACTGAAAGTGAGAGTTATCTCTTTAACCTATAATATTTTTCTGCTTTTCTGAAGTTCAAATGTGTGTGAAGTCTTATTTAGCCACCCATATGGGAATGCACTGTTCAGACTATCAAAGAGGAGATTTTTGCTAAGCAGCTAAATTAGGAAGATTTCTTGTTCATGAGATTCTGCATACTCATTGGATGAATCCAGTGTCTTACATAGGCAGAGAATGCTGGATTTCTTGAATAGAGTGCTCACTCAAAAGTAGAAAAGCTTTATTTGGGGCACTGTCTTATCTTTTTACCATGGAATTTTCTAATACTAATGCAAAGATGAAAAAAGTTCTAATGTCATTGAACATCAAATATGGAAATATTTGTACATTTTGTTTCCAGTTCTGCTGAAGGACTTTTCAAATATTGATCTAGATGGTACCGACTTGCTAAGGAGTCCAGACTGGCAGTACTATCATTCATTATTGTAAAAGCATATTACTTGTTCAAATGTTTCCTGCATTGCAAACAACTGGACCTCCTGCCTTCAAGATGAAACTGGCATCTCATTGGGATTCAAAGTTTCTCTGGGAGGTAGCCTGACTCTTGTTTGTTGAAGTATTATACAGAAGTCTACTGAAAAGCAGGAACCTTTGATCGAGTCAAATAGTCTACGAGTTGAAAGAGATTCTCCCAGATGAGCATCTCCTAAGCATGGGGCCCTTATAAAGTCATCCTTGACTATTAATTTAGGCTGTATTTTATAATTCATTACTTTTGGGATACTAAAAAAGCAACAAACAAACCCTTGACTTCTGCCAAGTGGCATATGGTTGTCATCTCTGTTCAGCTTCTGATGCACAGATCAGTGTTCCTTCTCTGCTAGGAATAATCTTATCTATAAGAGGATTTCGGTGTATAACTCTGGATGTGCTTGAGGTGGTTGCTTCTTTGTGACTGCTACAGAAAAAAAGGAATGATTGTAATATGCTGCAGTATTGCCAAAGAAGCATTTCCTGATCTTGCAGATAATCAATTTGTGTGTCATTTTTTTTCTTTCTAAAGTTTATAGAGGCATAGGTTGGATCTGTTTCTGCAGTAAAGGTGACATTCTCAGAGCCTTCAGGATTTTTAAGATAAAAGCCTGCCTGTCTCCTTTAGATTGTATCCTCACTGAATACAACGGTTCTGCTGGCATCTCCCTGCTTTGTGTCTAGAGGGATGTGGACTTTCAAACCGTCAGTCTGTCTGTGTTGTCCCTGAGCCACATAGTGCAGTTTCACAGTAGCAGTAAGGTAATTTTAGACTTAACCGGTTACTACGGAAAAGGGCAGTTTTATGTTGTCTACCTGACCTGTTTGTATGATACGGCCTCAGCCTTTGTGTTGACACTGACAATTGCAAAGTTCTCTGATCAAGCTGGAAACTAACCTGGCATGAAGTGAAATCAAGTGTAGTTTTCAGCCAGGACTTGCATTGCCAGGAGCATGATTGCTGGTGGGACCACCCTTCTGGCATTAGCACTGTCCTAGGGTTTGTGAGCCAACTGGAAACGCAACTTTGCGTATGTTCAGAGAGGAAGATGTTATGTTTTGTCTGATCAGAAAGTTTTGTCATTATTTGTGGAGAGCTGGAAACTATTTCTCCAATACTAGAGAAACCTGTTTGTCATGGTGCAAAACTCATTCCTGCAAAGTCCACTGTGGTTCATAATTATCCTAACCCTGAAGTTGTGAGGTTGAAGTCTGACACATGTCAGAGATTTCAGCCCAATCTAAGGCAGTTTTAATGAAAGGCTCCTTGTTGCTTCCATAGCTGTACGTATCCTTTTAGGAGCAAACAAAACAAATACCGTTTCCCTCTCTTTAAAATTAATTTGGGGCAAATGAGAAGTTCACTCTCCTCCTTACCTCTTTCCTGTTTTGAATAGGATCCAGAGCTGTTGCTTGTTTCGGTCATTCTCCTCCCCGGGTTTATCAAGAGTGCCTAATCCTTCCCAGCCCACAAGAAATAAGAGTTACTACAACAACAGTTCTCTGGAGTGAGCCCCTTTGTACAAAAATCTTTTATTGCTGCTTCTGGCTTTTCTGAATTAGTGGAAGGAGCTGACTGAATGTCAGGACTCTACAGTTTTGGCAGCCTTCTGACTGTGGGGTGAAGGGCAAAGGCACCAACGGCCACTGTGTCCCAGGGGGTTCTGGTCATTTACTTTTAGTGTGAATATGCAAAAATC